CATACATATACATCCCAAAGAATTTTTAAAAAGTGAACACATCTGTAAAAATGAACATTAACAGAACTCTAAAATCCCCCATTATTTCCCTTCCAGTCACTACCTTCAACCTCTCACCAGTTGTTACTCCTCTCCACTCCCCGTCAAAAGTAACTTCTTCCTCCAGCCTGGGCGACATAGTGAAATCCTGTCTCTACAAATACAGAAAAATTAGCCAGGTGTGATGATGCCAGCTGCCACCTGTAGTCCCAGCTACTCAGGAGGCAGAGGTAGGAAGAGGATTGCTTGAGCCAGAGAGGTGGACATTACAATGAGCCGAGCTTGTGCCACTGCACTCCAGGCTGGGTGACAGAGTGAGACCATATCACACACAAAAAAGTTACTTCATCCTAATGTCTGTCACCATCAATCAGTTTTGCCTGTTTTTAAACTTTACATAGGTAAAATCATTCAGTGTTTTCTCTTAGGTCAGGCTTCCTTTGTTTTGTTCATTATTATGTTTTTGAGATTCATTCATGCTATTTCAAATAGCAATAGTTCATTCTCATTAATGTGTGTATGTGTAAATATATATATACACACACACATCTGTATATATGTGTGTGTATGTATATATGTATATATTTTATTTATTTATTGAGACAGAGTCTCGCTCTGTTGCCCAGGCTGGAGTGCAGTAATACAATCTTGGCTCACCCGCAACCTCCACCTCCCTGGCTCAAGTGATCCTCCTGCCCCAGCCTCCTGGCCTCATTATTGTATAATATAATATTTCATTGTTTGACTACACCACACTTGATGTACTCTACTATTGAGACATTTGGCTTGTTTACAGTTTGGGGCTTTTATGAATGCTTCTGCTAGGAACATTCTTGCAGATGCCTTTTTGGTATACATCTTACCATAAACGTTTCTTTTGGACATGTTTCTAGGAGTGACACTGACAGATTTTAGAGAATGTATATGTTCAGCTTTAGTAGATACTATCGAACAGTTTTCTGAAGTAGTTTTACCAGTTTACACTCTTACAAATAATGACTAAGAGTTTCAGCTGTGCCATGTCCTCATCTGCACTTAATGTAACTCATTGCATTTTTATTTCTGCCCTTACTGCTCTTCTGAAACTGCTCTTACCAAAATAAATCTGACGTTTTTTATCCTCATGTTACTTGTCCATTTTGCAGTATTGATGATCTTAATTGCTTCATCCTTGAAACTTCCTATTCCTTTAAATACTGTGATACTGGCCTCTCCTGTCTTTCTCCTACCACTGCAGTCTCTTCTCCTCAATTTACTTCTCAGCTCTTTGTTCTCTCTCTGTCCCTTAAATGCAAGTGTTCCACAAGTGTCCCCCTTTGTTTTCACTCTAACACATACTCCTTGGGTGATTTTTAAGTCTTCTTTAATGATTTCATCTACCACCTACATGAGGAAGGTGTCCAAATGTATATCTGGCCCAAATTTCTTTTCTGAGTGCCAGAACTGCTTATACAGCTTTCTATTGAAATATTCCACTTGGATTTCCAAAGATACTTTAAACATATATCTATTTAAATATATTACAATTTATCATTCAACTGTTGATGTACATGTAGGTTGTTTCTTGTTTTTGCTATGTTTTTCTCCTTAATAACATTTGTTCCTTTTCTTGTATTTCCTGTTTTAGTGAATAGTGCCACATCCACCCAGTTGCCCAAGCCAGCAACTTGAGAATTATTCTTTACCACTATACCTTACCAGCCCTTATCATGAGCCCATCCTTCTCCTACGTCCCATTTATTTGGTCACAAATCCTAATAGTTTTAACTCCTAAACTTTTTTCCCCTCTGTCCTATAGACTTTATCCAATCGGGCCCTTTTGATTTATCAGTACCATTTATTCAATATCAGTACCACTTATTCATGATACTCTGCTGGACTACAGTTACCATTCTCAACAACAGCAACTGTTTGGGACTCCCTGGCTACAGTCATGCTTTCTCTAATTGATGTCACTTCTTTATTTTAAATCCTTCAATGGCTCCTGCTTGCTAAGAACCTGATAAAGTCTAAGTTCTTAGCATGGGATACTCTCTCTCTCTGTCTGGACCTTACTGTTCTTTTTAGCTTTACATCTCTCCTCTTCACCTCTGTGCTCCAGCTGTGCTGAACCACATGCAGCAACTCAGGTGTATTGCAGTCACTTTTATACTTTTGTGCCTTTCTAATTACTTCCTTTTCTTCTTTGCCTGGCTAACTCATTTGTCCTTCAAGACACTATTTAGATCCCCAGACATTCTATTGAGAAACATTTCCTGACTTCTAAACCATTTTGGTGCGCGTCCTCTATGATCTCAGTACACCCGTGTTCTGTCATAGCACTAGCACATGTTTCTATCATTATAATTATCACATCTGGAACAAATTGTTTCCTTTTTGCCTCCTCATTAGAATGACAACACCCTGAGGACCCGTGCTATTTTAATCCTTTTTTTTTCTTTTGTAACCACAGTGTCTAGCATATGGAAACATTCCACAAATATTTGTTGGCTAATTTTAAATTGAACATAAAAGTACCTGTTCTTGTACACATTGATTTTTATTATCTCTAGAAGGTTTTGTTTTTGTTCTGGATTTGGAGGTGTAGATAACTGAAGCAATAACAACTTATTCTACATAGTAGCTTATACCTCGCAATCTTCATGTGATTGACACAAAACTGGGTTTGCCTTCCCTATGTCAAGGTTAGTAGAAATTCTAGCATAGATTCATAGACTTGCTTGTAGAATCCTTGGAAGGAACTTGGCAGCTTCAGCTTACCTAGGGACATTCTCTTAAAATAATGGAAAACTCAAGTTGAAAACAAAGGGAAAAAAAAAATAATGGAAAACATGGAGTCCTCTATGGTAAGAAATATCTACTCCAAGTGGTAAAAAGTGGTAGTAGTTCTGGACTGCGTGGTATAAACCAAGGTTCTCAGAGGTGAGATCATGCCAATGTACTCCAGCTGGGCAACAGAGTGAGACTCCATCCCAAAAACAAACAAACAAAGAAACTCAGTTGGTGCTTTTAGAGTCTTCCTTTGCCTTTGAAACTACAGCAACTTTCTTTAGTCTAAATGAAAGACTAAGGAGAAAACACCCAGGTCACCCCTTTCTGACGACTTAAACAAGTATGTGCTTATTTTCATACCTTAGAACAATTTAATAATATGTGGCATTTATTTATATATATTAATTTTCTGTGTTAATTGTGGTGGGAGTATAAAAACTAGTCCTCACTCTTATGTTTATTGTCTGTTGTAATGACTATATAATAGTCAAAGTAGTATATAATCAATTTTTAAAATGTAGTGATCAAGCCCATTCCTTCAATAGGGCAAACGGGATGGTCACCATGTGCGCTGCCCTTTTGGTAGAGGGTGAAGAGGGGATATCCTACTCCTTTTTCTAAATGCCACTGGCTCTGGGTGTGGTGGCTGATACTTGTAATCTCAGTACTTTGGGAGACCAAGGTGGGCAGATCATTTGAGGTCAGGAGTTTGAGACCAGCCTGGCCAATGTGGTGAAACCCCATCTCTACTAAAAATACAAAAAATTAGCCAGGTGTGGTGGTGGGCACCTGTAATCCCAGTTACTAGGGAGGCTGAAGCAGGAGAATCACTCTGCTGGAAGGCAGAGGTTGCAATGAGCCAAGATAGTGTCACTGAGCTCCAGCCTGGGCAACAGAGCCAGACCCTGTCTAAATAAATAAATATAAATGCCACTAAAATTCAATTTCAAATCTTTTGGACAAAGGAAGGGGAGGGATTAGGAAGAGGCAAGAGAGGAGGCTCCTGAGGTACTAGGTAATGTTATAATTCTTTTATGTTCATTTTGATATTTTATTGATCTTTATACTTATGTTTTATGTACTTTTCTATATGTACCTTATATTTTATTAAAATGTTTTAAACAGTTCTAGAAATTTAGAAATTTCTATCTTTAAACATTTCTCAAAGGGACCTATGAAAGATGTTAATGATGAGGTTCTTTTCCAGTGCCCTTATTTTGCATGGTCCACCATGGGTTGAGAAGCCCTAGCCTAGTGGTGTGTACATTCTAAGTGGAGTGGGAAAACAGTGAAGCACAAGATTAGCATGGTGAAGAGTCTTTAGGGAAAACAAAATGTCTATTCATTCAGTAAACATTAATTGGGCACAAGTAATATATGGAATACTGTACTGATACAGAAAGCTTTGGCTGGGCATGGTGGCTCAAGCCTATAATCCCAGCACTTTGGGAGGCTGAGGTGGGCAGATCAGCTGAGGTCTGGAGTTGGAGACCAGCCTGGCCAAATGGCAAAACCCCATCTCTACTAAAAATACAAAAAGTAGCCAGGCGTGGTGGTGGGCACCTGTAATCCCAGCTACTTGGGAGGCTGAGTCAGGAGAATTGCTTGAACCCGGGAGTCAGAGGTTGCAGTGAGGTGAGATCATGCCAATGTACTCCAGCTGGGCAACAGAGTGAGACTCCATCCCAAAAACAAACAAACAAGCAAAACACAAAAACTTGAAGGAGACCAAAGGTCAGGGTTGGAGGGGAAAAATAAAATGTGGATGCTGTCAATTAATTCTGATTGTAGCTATCTACTAGTCTTTATAGAATAATATAAATAAGCAATGCTTATTTAGCATTTGCTGTTTAGTAAGATATTTATATGTATTAACTCCTTTCATCAGCACAGTAACATTATGAAGTAGGCACTACTACTGGTATCTCATTTTATAGATGAGGAAACTGAGGTACAGAGATCCTAAAGTCACTCAGCCAGGAAGTAGTGAAGCTAATATTCAGGCCCAATTGTCAGAGTCCCTGTTTGTCTCCTCAAAATCACTGTGCTTTGTGAAATTAATGCAAAGACTATCAAAGGAGACGTAGGTTGATCTGGAGGCACCATTTGAAGATAGTGAACCTGCTTCCAGTACTCTGTTGTTTATGTGTTTTGGAGCTCTGTGTGAATGCCTTTTCTTCTTTTTACAGACATGGCTGGATTCCGCCAAAGAAATAAAAAAGCAGGTTCGTGGTAAGTGGATATAGCTCTTTTTATAGTTTGTTCTTTCTTTTAGTAGGTCAGAGGATTTCCAACCATTTCTGGCTGTGAGTCAGTCACTTTAGAATCCTGACTACTGCAGAGTGCTTTGAAATTGAGATAAAGCCTTCTCTTGGAAGGAGGAGATTCCATAATAGAAAAATATAGCAGAGGTGGATACTATTGAGATGTAGGTCAGATTTTGTTGATTTTTTTTTTTATAACTGGGCAAAGTTGGGGAAGATAGGAAGATTTGGGAGTAACAGAAGGTGGAAAAGAACAAACATGAGAAAAGAAAAAGGATATGGGAGTCAGCTCTCAAAATGGTAGTGACCGAAACTGCAGTTGCCTGCTAGGAGTTTGCAGCTGGATCCTATTCCTTTTAAATTGTTCTGAACTACTGCATTATAAATTTTATGTTTTCCTCCTATGGTTGTTTGCATCCCTTTTAACAGTCGTCTTCCAAACTGTAATATAAAGGACTGTGGAAGAAAAAAAGAGTGGAAGAACAAGAATTGCTTGCCACTGACCCTTCTGACATTGTGGCTTTGCTCCTAGCTCTAAGCCCTCTAATGTATTGTCCCGCTTTACACCCTGATAAGACTGATGTCCTGGGATAAATATTTCTGGGTTGAGAAAAGTATAGATTCGTATTTTGCAATCCCAGACTCAGTGGCTAATTAAGACTACCTGTCCTTTTAGTTTAGTTTTGAAGAAACTTCCAGGAAATGCTGTAGTTGTCATTTATCATGATTAGTAACTTTTTCTTTCACCTGAAAACAAGCTTTACTTTTCTTTTGTTTCTTAGAAGAAGACACTTTTGTTATGGTGAAATGTTTTCCTTTAGACCCTGTTGGTAATTGCTTTAGTTTTCTTAAGTAAAGAAATAAAATACTCTTGGACTGATAACTCTCTGCATTTGCTTTCTACCTATAAAAGCTTGTTTTAAAATGTAAGTCCCAGCAAAAAATATTAATAATATTTTAGATACCACAAGAAAAGTGTAACTCCTTGCTCCTTTCAGTGAAAATACTTTTAATATGAAATATTACTCAGGAGCATATGATTATATAAGAAGATTCTTTAGGAGGAAAAATTAACAGAGTTTTTGATGAGTAAAAAAGAATATCTAGTGGATTGTCTTCCTGGATATTAAGAAAAATCTTGCTAAGAAAAGGAACCTAAATATTTTTCAGTTAAAAAAAATTACAGAATAATAAAAACATTTCTTTCAACATGGGAGAAAAAAAAAACCAATGTCCCTTACAAAAATTTTAATAGGGAATCAAATTGTAAACATTTTTTTAAGCCAAAGAGAAGAATAACATTTATTGCAAAGGTAGGGGTTTTTTTTAAGTTTTTTTTTTTTTTAATCACGCAGGTAATATATACCCATTTTAAGAAATTTAAACATTATAGGAAATTATCATGAAGAATGTCAGAGTCTTCTAAATCCTGTCCTCTGGATATAATCACTGTTAAACTGATAGAATCTCCAAGATTTTCTTCTAGGCATATGTAAATTTTGCTTTTTAAAAATACAAGTACGTTATACATAGCTTTTAAATTTAATTTTTAAAATAGATGTTATAAATATGTGGTATAAAATAAAAAGATACATATGAGTATAGTACGAGGTAAATCTCCCTTCTTTCCTTGTCCTAGTCATGCAGTTTTCATTCCTAGAAGCAACCATGGTAACTTGGGTTCTTTCCAGAAATGGTCTGAATGTAATAATATATGATACATATTTTAAATATGTACATATGTTTTTAGAGACGGGGTTTCACTCTGTCACTCAGGCTGGACTCAAGTGGTGCAGTCCTAGCTCACTGTAGCCTTGAACTCCTGGACTCCAGGGATCCTCCCTCCTCAGTCTCGAAAGTGCTGGGATTACAGGTGTGACCCACCACGTGTGGCTGGGCTGAATGTATATAGACATATGTGAAAGTGTGTTTTAGTATAAATATGCAACCAATATTTTTTGTTTAACATAATTTAGGGTGCTATCCATATCAATATATATACATTTATTTCATCTCTTAATTTTAGGCCAGGCACGGTGGCTTATGCCTGTAATCCCAGCACTTTGGGACACTGAGGAAGGAGTATCGCATGAGCCCATGGGTTTGAGATCAGCCTAGGCAACATAGGGAGACCCCGTCTCTACAAAAAATTTAAAAATTAGCTGTGTTGTGGTGCATGCCTGTAGGCCCAGCTACTCAGGAGGCTGAGGTGGGAGGATCACTTGGGCCTGGGAGATCGAGGCTACAATGAACCATGATCATGCCACTGCATCCCAGCATCTGCGACAGAGTGAAACCTTATCTCAAAATACTACTACTACTACTAGTACTAACTTTTAAATGATTATACACACACTAAATGGGTCCTATTGATGGACATTTTGGGTTAATCCCAATGGTTTACTATTACAAATAAGCTTGCAGTGAATTTATTTATATGTATATCTCTGTATACATATATAAATGTCTATAGATAAATTCCTAGAAGTATAATAAAAATTATGACTATTAAAATTATTACAGATATTCAATAATATTTTGCATTTAGTTATCATATCTCTTTAGTTTTCATTAATCTGGAACAGTTCCTGAGTCTTTAAAGTATTTCATAATATTGACAGGTTTTTATTTTTATTTTTTGAGACACGTTCTTGCTCTGTCACCCAGGCTGGAGTGCAGTGGCACCATCTCAGCACTGCAGTTTGCACCTCCCAAGTTTAAGAGATTTTCCTGCCTCAGCCTCCCAAGTATCTGGGATAACAGGCACCCGCCGCCGTGTTCCACTTTTTTGTATTTTTAGTAAAAATGGGGTTTCACCATATTGGCCAGGTTGGTCTTGAACTTCTGACCTCAGGTAATCTGCCCACCTTGGCCTCCCAAAGTGTTGGGATTACAGGCATGAACCACCATGCCTGGCCAATAGTGACAGTTTTGAAGAATACAGATGAATCATTTCATTTTAATTAATTAATTAATTAATTTAGTTTTTGGAGACAGAGTTTTGCTCTGTCGCCAGGCTAGAGTGCAATGGCATGATCTGGGCTCACTGCAACTTCTGCCTCCCAAGTTCAAGAGATTCTCCTGCCTCAGCCTCCTGAGTAGCTGGGACTACAGGCGCACGCCGCCACGCCCAGCTAATTTTTGATTTTTAGTAGAGACGAGGTTTCACCAAGTTGGTCAGGATGGTCTCAATCTCTTGATCTCATGATCCGCCTGCTGCAGCCTCCCAGAGTGCTGGGATTACAGGTGTAAGCCACCACGCCTGGCCCAGATGAGTTATTTTATAAATGGTCAGTTTAACTTTGTCTGATATTTCCTCATGGTTAGATTCAGGTTATGCACTTTTGGGAGGAATGTCACTACAGTGTTGCTGAATTAGAAGACAGAAAGTTTAATGTTAACGTTTTTTAGAGCTTTTCCAGCTACATTTTTTTCTTTCACTAAATATTCTCCATGAAGTGTTATTAATTATTTCTGCCATATTCTAGAAATGGTCACTGACTAAAGCTTATTTTTAATATTTTTTGAATCCCAAATGATTAACTTTTTTAGCTTTCCTATTGCATTTAACCCTGAGCTTGCTTACATGAAACCAGGTAATTGTTTTAGTTGTCTCCAAAACTCATAATTGTTGCATGGAAAAGAATAGGAACTGAAAGTCCTTATGAAATATTCCTACGTTGGCCAGGCTACTCTTGAACTTCTGACCTCAAATGATCTGCCCACCCCAACCTCCCAAAGTGCTGGGATTACTGGCGTGAACCACTGCGTCCAGAGACAAAGTCTCACTCTGTCACCCAGGCTGAAGTGCAGTAGCATGATCTTGGCTCACTGCAACCTCTGCCTCCTGGGTTCAAGCAATTCTCCTATCTCAGCCTCCTGAGTAGCTGGGATTACAGGCGCCCACCACCACGCCCGGCTAATTTTTTTTTTTTTTTGTATTTTTAGTAGAGATGGGGTTTCACAAGTTGGCCAGGCTGGTCTTGAACACCTGACCTTGTGATCTACCCACCTCAGCCTCCCAAAGTACTGGGATTACAGATGTGAGCCACTGTGCCCGGCCTGCATTTCTTTTTTAAAAATATTTTCCCTGGAGCTTTAGCATTCCCGTATGACCTACATAACAATGCCTTGAGATCAGTTACTTTATTTCATTCAGTCAGTCAGCAAATATTTCTTGAGCACCTATTGAGGCAGGAGAATAGGACCTGGAAGCTTGTTTTTTTAAAGTCTATATCAAGAATTATAAGTTAATAATGGATAGATTGATGTGATTTTATCATATCAGAAAGTGAAACAGTAGGTGGTATTGGTTTGTGGAATACACTGAAAATACTTCCCCCACTCTCCTTCTGAGAAACAATTATGAGTTTGTCTTTCTAATCTAAGTCCCATGTAAAGTTTCTGCAATATGAAGCATTAGAAGTGAGTCGGGCCGGGCACGGTGTCTCATGCCTGTAATCCCAGCACTTCAGGAGGCTGTGGCACGTGGATCACTTGAGGTCAAGAGATCAAGACCATCCTGGCCAACATGGTGAAACCCCGTCTCTACTGAAAATACAAAAATTAGCTGGGTGTAGTGGCGCTTGCCTGTAATCCAGCTATTCAGGAGGCTGAGGCAGGAGACTCGCTTGAACCAGAGGTTGACAGATCTGTCGGAGGTTGCAGTGAGCCAAGATTGTGCTACTGCATTCCAGCCTGGCAACATAGCAAGACTCCATCTCAAAAATAAAAAAGAGGAAGTGAGTTGACGATAAGTATTAATATCTGACTAACTTTGAGATACCCTCGTTATATGGTCTGGAATTTGCCTTTTAGTTCGTGTGTTGAAGGAAGGAAAATGTTGACTATTTCTAAGGAAATATTATATTAAATATTTTGGTATGCTTGAAAGTACACATTAAGACATTCAAACTAATTCAAATCATAATCTGCATATTTTTATTGTAAACTATTAGCAATAAAATGGTATTTGGAGATGAAACACTATGGACACAAAACACAGAATGATATTTGACACATAGATGTTTGTAGCAGGATAGTAGAGTCCAGTGGTTAAAAGCATGGGCTTTAGCTGGGCCCGGTGGCTTACACCTGTAATCCCAGCACTTTGGGAGGTTAAGACAGGCGGATCATAAAGTCAAGAGATTGAGACCTGCCCGGCGCAGTGGCTCACGCCTGTAATCCCAGCACTTTGGGAGGCTGAGGCGGGTGGATCACAAGGTCAACAGATCGGGACCATCCTGGTCAACATGGTGAAACCCCGTCTCTACTAAAAATACAAAAAAAAAATTAGCTGGGCATGGTGGTGCGTGCCTGTAATCCCAGCTACTCAGGAGGCTGAGGCAGGAAAATTGCCTGAACCCAGGAGGCGGAGCTTGCGGTGAGCCGAGATCGCGCCATTGCACTCCAGCGCCTGGGTAATGAGCGAAACTCCGTCTCAAAAAACAAACAAACAAAAAACAAAAAGAGATTGAGACCATCCTGGCCAACATGGAGAAACCTGTCTCTACTAAAAATACAAAAATTAGTTGGGCATGGTGGCACACGCCTATAATCTCAGCTACTTGGGAGGGTGAGGCAGAAAAATCACTTGAACCCAGGAAGCAGAAGTTGCAGTGAGTCAAGATCGTGCCACTGCAGTCCAGTGTGGCAACAGGGCAAGATTTCGTCTCAAAAAAAAAAAAAAAAAAAAAGCATGGGATTTAGAGTAAGAGAACTGTTGGTTAACTAGCTGTGTACTTTCCTAAGCCTTTGTTTCTTCATACATAAAATGAATTAATGCTACTATAAAATGAATTAGTACCTTCCTCCTTGGATTTCTCTGAGGATTAAATGTGTTAATGTATGTAAGAGGGCTAGCTTAGAGCCTGGCATGCAATAAGTCCTGAACAAAATGGCAACTCTTAGCATCATAACCAATTATACTTATTTGGGCTGAGACCAGGCCTTACTCTTAGGTAAGCCAACAGTCATGCTACAAAAACCCTGAAGGGAAGCCATCAGCTAGAAAAATGGAAATGCATTCTCCATTTAACCTTTACTCATTATCTCTGATTTTCATTGTAGGTCAAAAATATGACACATTCTTATGAGTCTTAGGATGAAACTCTTGTGATTTTCATACCTAAAGTATTTTTATTAGAACTATAGTTTCTGAGAGCCACCTATATTACCTCTTCTTGTTTCTAAAATAACTGCCTGTCTCACCCATATTACTGAGAAGAATGCTTTTGTTTGAGATGCTGTTGACAGATCTCACAAATATGCCATAACCAAAAAATAACCTTTATGGGTCATGTGAATGACCTTCTGAGGACCCAGAGTCATACATTGCATAATGGTTTTTCTATTAATGATGGACCACATATACAGTGGTGGTCCTGTAAGATTATAATACCATTTTTTTAAAGACAGGGTCGTTTGTGTGTTTTTTTGTTTTTGTTTTTTTTTGAGACAGGGTCTCGCTCTGTTGCCCAGGCTGGAGTGCAATGGTGCAATCACAGCTCACTATAGCCTCAACCTCTTGGGCCCAAGTGATCTTCCCATCTCAGCCTCCCAAGTAGTTGAGACCACAGGCATGTGCCACCACGACTGGCTAATTTTTTTATTTTTGTAGAGTTAGGGTCTCCCCATGTTGTTCATTCTGGTCTCGAACTCCCAGGCTTAAGCAGTCCTCCCACCTTAGCCTCCCAAAGTGCTGAGATTACAGGTGTGAGCCACTGTGCTGAGCAGAGACAGAGTCTTGCTCTGTCACCCAGGCTGAAGAGCAGTGGTTCAGTTAATTCACTATAACCTTAAACTCCTATGCTTAAGGGATCCTCCTGCCTCAGCCTTCTGAGTAGCTGGGACTATGGGCATATACCACCATAACTGGGTAATTTTTTGCAGAGACAGGATCTCACTTTCTTGTCTAGGCTGGTCTCAAACTCCTGGCCTCAAGTGATCCTCCTGCCTCAGACTCCCAAAGTGAATAATATCATATTTTACTGCACCTTTTCTGTGTTGAGATATACAAATATTTACCCTTATGTTACAGTTGCCTACAGTATTCGGCACAGTAACATGCTGTACAAGTTTGTAGCTAAGGAGCAATAGACTATATCATGTGGCCTAGGTGTGTAGTAGGCTAAACCATCTTGATTTGTGTAAACACACATGTTTGCATGATGACATGGCATTTCTCAGAGTATCTCTGTCATTAAGTGAGGCGTGTCTGTATATAGATCACATTTTGAAAACCATTGCTACAAACAAATTGACTTAAGATGGTTTTCCTTATGTTATTTTGCCTTTGTAGTTCTAGTCCTTTATAAATAAAACTATCATATTAAGTCAGGCAAAAAAATGAGATCCGCTAGCTCAAATCATTAGGTGATATCTAAGCAACTTTCCTGTTTTTAAAAAATTATTTTATCCACCAAGCATGAAAATATTTAAAGATATATTAATGAAAAAAGAGAAATATTTGAATATTTTGAGGTACTTCTAACAATTAGAAACTTGGGTATAAACGTAAAATTCTTTTGTGTTTATTTTTATAGGTATCCCTTGGAATTTTACATTTAATGTGAAGTTTTATCCACCTGACCCAGCACAGTTAACAGAAGATATAACAAGGTAAATAAGTGATAGTTAAATATGTAATTTTTACATATAGTAATGTGTATGATGAGATAGTAATTCTTACCACCATAAGCTCTGCTAATTCCTTATTCAGAACTGAAGAAAAATAATGAATTAAGTAGCCTAAGATTGAAAGTTTCTGGTCACTTCAAGGCAGGCGTACAAATAAGTGAGCCTAAAAGCCTTAAGTGTCTGTGACTTGTATCACAAGTATCAGGAAATTGGTGCGGAAACTGGCCTTGCTCATCATGGGTATTATGCCAAGCTGTGGATAGGGATTCTACCAGCGCCCTCCAAAGGGCAAGACACAAAAATAGTGGTAAAGTGGCTCGACTGTTTTTTTGGGTCTCTTTTCATTCCTTTCCTACCGTGTTTCTTCTTATAGGTATCAAAAATGCTGAAAGTCTAAGTGTTATTATTATTTCTTCCTATCTCCCTTTTAAAATGTTTGATGAAGTACTTGGTTCCCTGAACTGAATCTTCCTTGGAGCCCACCTAATTTGTGAAATCTTTTACTCCTTAAAAACAGCCTACTGATGTCTTTTAAGAAAATAGCTTTTATTGGATTCTATAAAAATATTAACTAAAAAAAAAAAATGGAAAATCAATATATTATAAAGCACTACTGTGCATATTTATATCCATGACATCTTGCATAGGGTCTTATCCATAGTAGATACCTGGCAAATGTTTGTTAATTAAACTGTTGGTTGTTGAGTAACTGCTTTCCATTTCTGATTTTGCTGCCAACTATCTGATTCCAGGCAGACTTACAGTCTCTAGGCCTCAGTTTCCATATCTCTCAAATAAGAGAGTAGACTAACCTCTTAAAAAATCTGAGAATTAAGTTCTGTAAAAAGTCAATACCATTTTTTTTTCTTATTACTTATCGTCTAGTTATCCTCAGTACATTCATGAAGTTGAGATGCCAGATCTCTGCCTTAAAAAGTTCTTTTGGGCTGGGTGCGGTGGCTCAAGCCTGTAATCCCAGCACTTTGCGAGGCCGAGGCGGGTGGATCACAAGGTCAAGAGATCGAGACCATCCTAGTCAACATAGTGAAACCCCGTCTCTACTAAAAATACAAAAAAAAAAATTAGCTGGGCATAGTGGCGCATGCCTGTAATCCCAGTTACTCAGGAGGCTGAGGCAGGAGAATTGCCTGAACCCAGGAGGCAGAGGTTGTGGTGAGCTGAGATCGCGCCTTTGCACTCCAGCCTGAGTAACAAGAGTGAAACTCCATCTCAAAAAAAAAAAAAAATGTATGTTATGACTAATTATGGCAAAAACTATTGCTGATGCACATGTTATTTAATATGATAGAAGCAAGGATATTATTCTAATTAATTTAGGAATTGTCAATTTAATAATACTTTCCTGTTTGATAAAACAGTCTGAATTGGTCAACTCAACTCAGTCAGTTAGAACATGTGTTAAGGAAGTCAGGGCCATAGGGGCAAACGTTACACTGATGGAGAGAAAAGTGTCTGAATGCAGTAAGGCAATCAGTTGGTTTGTTGGACTGAACTGTTTTAACTGCAAACTATGATTCCCAACAGTTGGAGTTAGCACACAGATGGAGTTAGTCTTACAAGGTGGCTAATAGTGTGTAGAAGGCTGCATGCAACTTAACTCATCTTGGAGACAAAATACACCAGAATATTTATATCCTAGTGAAAATGTGTCAGTAATATCATCTTTGTATATGAAAGGCAATATCTGCATACTTGGCAAAGCAATGTGATAGAAAAGAAAGGGCCTGGTTTTGGAGCCAGTCTTTATTACTACCTGACACTGAATACACTAAGCCTCTGAGCTGCTTTCTCATCTATAATCTGACAATGATACCCCCCTCACAAGTTTGTGTGTGTGTGTATGTGTGTGAAGATTAGGTGAGATAATTTGTATATCTGGGGTACTTAGTATACTTTAAAAAATATTAGTTTCATTACTTCCTTTAGACTTTCCCAACTTTTCTTCTTTCTAAACATGTGTCCAACAGAGTTATAGTATTTTTTATAAGTTTTATTATGGAAAAATTTCAAACACACAGAAAGAGAGAAATAATAGTGCAATGAACTACCATATTCCCACCACCTAGATTGAACAGTTATTAATATTATCTTTACTTAACTGCTTCCTTTTCTTGTTTCTCCTTATTTTTCTCTCGCTCCCTTTTTCTTTCTCCCCTTTTCTCCTTTTTCTCTCTCTATATTTTGTTGTTGTTGTTGTTGCTGCTGACATAACATCTTTTCTCTTTTGGCTGTAGATATTATTTATGTCTTCAGCTTCGGCAGGACATAGTTGCAGGACGTCTGCCCTGTTCCTTTGCAACCTTAGCATTGTTAGGTTCTTACACCATCCAGTCTGAACTGGGAGACTACGACCCAGAACTCCATGGCGTGGATTATGTTAATGATTTTAAACTGGCCCCGAATCAGACCAAGGAACTTGAAGAGAAGGTCATGGAACTGCATAAGTCATACAGGTGAATATGTCTCCAGGGTTTGTTCAGCATTTGTTTTGGCAATGAGTTTAAATGCTTAACATGGTATTGGTTCAGCGTTTGCCTAAGAGGGAGCATGGTGCCATAGAAAGAGTTTCCTCCACTGTTTGACTTTGGGCAGGTCACTTAACCTCTCTTAATCTAAGCTTTCTCATCAGAGTAATGGGCATTGCATTGTAGGATGAAAACTAAATGAGGTAATATATGTAAAGCACTTAGCGCAGTTGCTGGTTCAGTGCTCAGCAAATGGCAGCTATTATTATTTTTGTCACCTTACCTTTTATTTTTTATCAGATTTAAAACTCACTATGCTGCATTAGGTGCCTTAAGATCCTTAGAGCAGGGGTTTTTAATTTGAGATCTTTATACATGGATAGATTTCAGAGGCTGTGAAACTCTTGGAGGGATTTTTAAAAGTCTTTATTAAATTCACTGACTATCCTTTTTTTTTTTTTAACCTGAAAATGATTGGTAATGTTGGGAGGTATCAAGTGATCAAGAGCAAGAGTTTAGAGTCAGTCTGAGCTGGGTTGAAATGTTGACCTTGGTTCCGACCTTGTGACCTTAAGTCATTCAATTATAACTTCTCTGAGCCTCATGTTTCTTATATTTCTGATGGAGATTATTACCTCAGAGAAAATAGGGTGACTGCTAGGTTTAGAAAGGGTATTGTGGGCTGAGTGCTATGACTCATACCTGAAATCCTAGCACTTTGGAAGGCCAAGGCAGGAGGGGAGGTCAAGGCTGCAGTGAGCCAGGATCACATCGTTGAAAATGTGTGTAAAATACTGAATACAATGTGACAATGTCTTTCACATGGTAAAAATTCAATAAATATTAGCTAATATTAAAGTGCCAGAATAATTTATGTTTCTTCCTACCCATACATTCATTGTTACTTGAGTGACTTGCTGTAACTAAGTTCTATAAACTGCCTTAGTATATTAATGTGAAAGTCTGACCTTGGCCTTGAGTTAGTACCCTAAGTTATGTTAGCATGAGTATGAGTTAGGTTACAAATCTCCAAAGGGTAACACTGCTCAAAGAGAAATCCAAAAAGTGGTCCTGGTAGGCTTGCCATGGTAGTAAAAAATATTCTTTCTAGCCATTGAGCCATCTTGCTCGTTTTGGGGTAGTTGGAATAGGATTGTATGGATTGGGATGCTTCAAATGAGAGATCTTTAACTTAAGGTGCCTTAATTCTGGGTGCCTTATTGCCCCTGTAGGTTCACGTACCTGAGTCATGAGGACTGTACTAAGGACTTGAAAGTCTACAGCCTACATAGCAGTAGTCTTATAAGAGATAACCAACTCTCTTGGGGTCACATTATTTCCAAAGAGAACTGATATTTGCTTTTTAAGTTTAGATTTATACATTCCAGTACTAATGTCTGGAATCATTACATATACCACTTTCAATTATCTTTGAATATATTTTTAATACTTTTATATTCTTGTTATGTTTCTCAACATTTACATATATAAGAAATATATGCAGAAAAGCAAGTACTGGAAAGAAACAAAATAATTTGATTAGTTAGAATGTCAAGATTGTAGGGAAATATTTTTATTTTCTAATAATTTTAAAATATTCGTAATAATATAACCTTTGGGCAATCAGTAAAATAGTAAAAGAAGATATTTTACTGCTGCTATAGAACTGAACCACAGAAAATGATGGTGTCAGATTATGACTGTTACTTTAAATCTTCTTTCTCTAATTGTTTTTTTTTAAAGAGAGATGGAGTCTCACTATCACCCAGACTGGAGTGCAGTGTGGTGTGATCATAGCTCACTACAGCTTCAATCTCCTAGGCTCAAGTGATCATCTCAGCCTTCTGAGTAGTTAGGACTATATGTATGTGCTACCAAGCTCAGCTAATTTTTAAATTTTTTTATAGAAATAGTAGTCTCACCATGTTGTTCAGGTCGATCTCAAACTCCTGGCCTTAAGACTCCCAAACTGCTAGATCTACAGGCGTGAGCCACTGTGCACAGCCTAATGAGTCTTTTAAAGTCTACAGCCTACATATGTAGTCTTATACCAGTTACCCAGCTCTCTTGGGTTACACTATTTCCAAAGAGAACTGCATGTTTGCTTTTTAAGTTTGGACTTATCTGATCATAATAGAATCTCAGGTTTGAGAGGACTTATATTCTCTCATTCAGTGCTTGATTCTCCTTTATAGAATTGTTACATAATCATTATAGTAAGTAGCCAGTTATTTGCGTCCATTATTATGTGCTAGGTACTATGATAAACACTTGATGTCAAACATCGTGTTTAATCTTTATAACCACCCTTTGAGTTAGGACAATGGTTCCTAAAGGGTGGTCTGTAGACCTTAGAGATCTTCAAGATTCCTTCAAGGGGTCCATGAGGTCAAAATTGTTTTTATAATAATGCTAAGATGTTAGTTGCCTTTTTCACTGTGTTCAAATGAGTGGAGCACAAATCCAGGCAGTTGCAGCAAACTACTAATAGTCATTATGTTGTTCTCCAGCATGTACTTGGCAGTTAAAAAGAAAGCCAGCTTACCTTAGAATTTTCCTAACGAAGCAGCAAAAAGTATTAATTTTATTAAGTCTTGAATACATTTCTATTTCATATTCTGTGTGATTAGATGGGAAGTATACACAAAGCCTTTCTGCTGCATACTGAAATACAACACTTGTCTCAGGAAAAGCACTTGTGCAATTGAGTTGTGAACTGAAATTGGCCATCTTTCCAATGTAACACCATGTTTTCTTGAAAAAATGACAAATTATGATTATTCGGACTTGGTTATTTGACATACATTTTCTCAAAAATGAAATGAGCTTTTAGGAAAGCAACTGACAGTATTTGTTGCTAATGACAAAATTCAACTTTCCAGTAAAAATTATAATTTTGGAAAACTTTTATATACCCCCATGATCTTTACAGCTTTTAAAGACTTTTCTGCTAAGGTCAGTGCTGATTTTAATGAATGTGATTTTTTATACATATATCGTATAATGAAACGTGTCAAGGTTTGGAAGTTTTTCATAATTTGGTGAACGAGTATTTTTCAAATTAGAAATGCACAGTGTTACAAAATCATGCACAAGTAAACAATCCATTCAAAATGCAAGCTAGACCAATGGATTTTTTTTTTTTTTTAAGGGAGGGAAGGAGGAAGGGAAGAAGGCAGGAAGGGGGGGAAGGAGGAAGGGAGGGAGGAAGGGAGGGATGAAGGAAGGAAGGAAGGGAGGAAGGGGGGAGGGAAGGAGGGAGGGAGGGAAGGAGGGAGGGTGGAAGGGAAGGAAGGAATTCAAGCAATGAGAGAGACATTGCTGACCTGGATCTAGAGGTTTACAAGTTGATTTCTTTTTTTGAGAGAAGGAAAGAAAAAAAAATGAGTAAAGAGAGAAAGAAAGAGGAAGAGAGAGAGGGAGGGTGAACGGAAATCTTGCTTTATTCTGAAAAAAAAAAAAAAAAGGGTATTAATAATGGCCAATCAATGTTTTATTTAAACCTATGAGTAGGTGTGATGTGGTATTGACAAGAATGTATATTTTATGTATTTGAAGTGGAGAGCTCTATAAATATTTATTAAGTTTACTTGTTCTGGATCTGAGTTTGAGTCCTTGATATCCTTATTAATTTTCTGTCTCATTGAATCTAAGTCTCTATGTATCTGGGTGTTAGGATCGTTAGCTCTTGTTGTGTTGATCCTTTTACCACTTTATCTTTGTTGCTTTAAAATCTATTTTATCCTATACGAGAATTGCAACTCCTGCTTTTTATTTATTTATTTATGCTCTCCATTTAGTTGGTAAATCTTTCTCCATTCCTTTGTTTTGAGTCTTTGTGTATCCTTGCATGTGAAACAGGTCTGGATGTAACATGCTGTTGGGTTTTGGCTGTGTCTTTTGATTGGGGGATTTAGTCAATTTAAATTTAGGGTTACTGCCATTTGATGTTAACCGGCTGTTTGATCTATTCGTTGATGAAAATTCTTCTTTATGTTGGTGCTCTTTACTTTTTGGTATATTTTTAGTAAGGCTAATACTGGTTGTTTCTTTCTGTGGGTAATGCCTCTTTCAGAAGCTCTTGTAAAGCAGGCCTGGTGGTAATAAAATCTCTGAGTACTTGCTTGTTCATAAAAGATTTTATTTTTCCTTCAGTTGTGAAGCTTAGTTTGGCTGGATATGAAATTCTGGGCTGAAGGTTCTGTTCTTTGAGGATGTTGAATATTGGCCCCCACTCTCTTCTGGCTTGTAGAGTTTCTGCTGAGAGATCTGCTGTAAGTCTGATAGGCTTGCCTTTGTGGGTAACCTGACCTTTCTCTCTGGCTGCCCTTAGTATTTTCTCCTTCCTTTCAACGATTATGTGCCTTGGGGTTGCTCTTCTTGAGGAATATCTTTGTGGTGTTCTCTGTATTACCTGGGGTTGAATATTGACCTGCTTTGCTAGTTCAGGAAAATTTTCCTGAATAATATCCTGAAGGGTATTTTCCAGTTTGGATTCATTCTCTCCGTGGCATTCAGGAACGCCTATCAAACGTAAATTTGGTCTTTTCACATAGTCCCACATTTCTTGGAGACTTTGCTCATTCCTTTTTATCCTTTTATCTCTAATCTTGTCTTCTTGTTTTCTTTCATTAAGTTGGACTTTGACCTCTGATATCCTTTCTTCTGCTTGAACAATTTGAGTGTTTAAACCTGTGCATACTTCTCGGAGTTCCTGTATTGTATTCTTCAGTTCCATTAATTCACTTATATTCCTCTCTAAGTTGTCTATTCTCAATAGGATTTCGTCAAACCTTTTTTCAAAGTTCCTAGTTTCTTTACGTTGGGCTACAACATGTTCTTTTAACTCACAGAAGTTTCTTATTATCCATTCCCTGAAGAGTGATTCTGTCATTGGGATGCGCTCGTTCTCCATCAAGCCTTGTTCTATTGTTGATGTGGAACTGTGATCATATTTAGAGGGAGAGGCGTTCTGATTTTGAGTATTC